GTAAGGGCGATGGATTTATTCATTGCTCTTTCATCTGCATCTTTTTGATACAGTGTCCTTATTCATTTAGTTACCTGGTTGATCCTGCCAGTAGTCATATGCTTGTCTCAAAGATTAAGCCATGCATGTCTAAGTATAAGCAATCTATACTGTGAAACTGCGAATGGCTCATTAAATCAGTTATCGTTTATTTGATAGTACCTTACTACTTGGATAACCGTGGTAATTCTAGAGCTAATACATGCTAAAAACCCCGACTTCGGAAGGGGTGTATTTATTAGATAAAAACCAATGCCCTTCGGGGCTCCTTGGTGAATCATGATAACTTAACGAATCGCATGGCCTTGCGCCGGCGATGGTTCATTCAAATTTCTGCCCTATCAACTTTCGATTGTAGGATAGTGGCCTACAATGGTTTCAACGGGTAACGGGGAATTAGGGTTCTATTCCGGAGAGGGAGCCTGAGAAACGGCTACCACATCCAAGGAAGGCAGCAGGCGCGCAAATTACCCAATCCCGACACGGGGAGGTAGTGACAATAAATACTGATACAGGGCTCTTTTGGGTCTTGTAATTGGAATGAGTACAATTTAAATCCCTTAACGAGGAACAATTGGAGGGCAAGTCTGGTGCCAGCAGCCGCGGTAATTCCAGCTCCAATAGCGTATATTAAAGTTGTTGCAGTTAAAAAGCTCGTAGTTGAACCTTGGGCCTGGCTGGCCGGTCCGCCTCACCGCGTGTACTGGTCCGGCCGGGCCTTTCCTTCTGGGGATCCGCATGCCCTTCACTGGGTGTGTCGGGGAACCAGGACTTTTACTTTGAAAAAATTAGAGTGTTCAAAGCAGGCCTTTGCTCGAATACATTAGCATGGAATAATAGAATAGGACGTGTGGTTCTATTTTGTTGGTTTCTAGGACCGCCGTAATGATTAATAGGGATAGTCGGGGGCATCAGTATTCAATTGTCAGAGGTGAAATTCTTGGATTGATTGAAGACTAACTACTGCGAAAGCATTTGCCAAGGATGTTTTCATTAATCAGTGAACGAAAGTTAGGGGATCGAAGACGATCAGATACCGTCGTAGTCTTAACCATAAACTATGCCGACTAGGGATCGGACGGTGTTAGTATTTTTGACCCGTTCGGCACCTTACGAGAAATCAAA